AGAAAATTACCAAAATAATAATAATAATAATAATAACAATACTAATAATAACTATGGAGAATCAAGGAAGGTATTACATAAGCAGGATAACTTGAAAAGACCAGTGGGAGTAGTAAATATTTGGCTCATTTTTAAAACTACAACAAAATTTGCCAAATACTCAACAAAACTGCAGCTGTTAAGACAAACCAGATCTTCACCATATAAATGCAAAATGCCTACCAAGCAAAGTATCTAGCTGTGCTTTGGATGATTGTTGCCTAGCAAAATGCATTTTACTAAAATAAAGTTCCTAACTTGAGAAAGCTCCCAGCCCTAGAGATTTTGAATCGGGCACGTTTTGGAGCCTACATTAAACTTGGCTATGAAAAAGCCAATTGTGTCAAGCGACGAAGATGGGTCAAACCTCTGAACCAATTCCTCCTCTCCAGGTCTTAACCATTCCCTGTGAAGCCCATAATGATAGAAAAATGTAAATTAGATAGCCAGTACACCATTCATATATCTACAGGATGAAACAGCACACAGATGAAACACGTACAAACACCACATTTATCAACAAAAATGGTGCTATCACCACCATGACAAAGGAGAAGGCAGAGATTACAGAAATTCAACAACTCCTTGCATTTAAAGAATAATCCTTTCCATAGCCATGCAAATATGTGATTGTAAAAAGAGGTGAAGTGAAAGAGTTGATTAACTTCAAGGACAAATCAAACCTTAGCAGAGATTCAAAACATTAGCTGAGATGGCCAATGGGAAGAAATGGTTCCAGAAGACAGGAACCCTTATAAACTTTTAGTTTATGATTTGTTTCCTCGACAATCAATATTAATTTAAAAACAAATGAGAACAAATCAATATTACTTTAGAGAAATCAAAATAATTATGGGTGTAATAAAAAACCAAAAAAAAAAAAAAAAACAATTAATATATACTGATTGGTTCGCTTTGATATTTTGGTTTGATAATACACTCTTCAACTACAAATGCATCTAGCATGTATAATTATGTTTTAATATCACAATTTGGGCTTTATTTCTTGAGAAAGCTTTAAAAGAATGCCCAACAAAGGTGCAAATGAATTGCATAATACACCAAAGAAAACAGGCTTCGTTTAGTTTGGTTTCAACAATCATGAAGTCTTAAAATTTTTGGCTTAGTTTAAAAACTCTTCCTATGCATGACCAAATTGAACCCCCAAACACCCCTAACTTATCTAGCTGACATTTCACAAGTTCTTAAGGGCAAATCCAGCACTAGTCTTTTCCAGAAGCAAGAACGAGGGATTCAAACTTTTCAATTTGTGATTGTTTTATTGAGAAATAATATTGAATGCGCAAATACTTAGTAGAAGAGCTAATAGAAAGTAATCAAGACGAATCAGTAGAAGCATTATGTTAGAACCCAAATGAAAATGAATTTCTGTTGTTGAAGGCTGTTACATGGTGAGCCAATGGATGGAAATGCTTACTCAACATATCCATCAGGAAGTTCACAACAACCTACAAGGCCAGGTCCTCCAATTCTTGGATGCTGAAAATTGTCATAAAACGAGTAAATTAATTCCAGTTTACAAAGACACATAGATTAATTAACTTCATAAAAACTAACCATACATAGCTATAAAAACTATGTTTTGTTGGCAAATTATTATTCGGAATTCCGACAAACTAATGCTATTCTAACCAAGAAGTACAAAAATGACAGTCATTGCCAGTATTTTCCTACTAAAACTGGAAACTAGATAATAAAAGCAAAATAAAACTACAACTTAGGAAAATATAAAGTTTGTGTGCACATAAATGGGATTGTAGTACCCAACCTGTGGTGCTAAAGAGAGGAAACTATATGTATCCAAAGCATATCGAACCAATGCTTCATTCTCCCCAGGGTTAATCGTACATCTATCAACATGTAAAAGAAATGGAAAATACAGAAGCTTCAATAATAGCCAGGACAAAATACATACAATAACCAAAATTAAAATTTAGGGTTTTTTTTTTTTATATAAAAAAACTTATAACAGTTGGATCCTAAGGAGAAGTTTGAACAATAAGATGTAAACATAGAATTCATAATGTCAGCAGCAAACTGTTTTCTAAGTGCCAATAGGTGGTGAATAAGACATGGAATGACCACAATATTGAAGTCATGTTTAGTTAGTGGTAATGGCCATTTCTTGGTCAAACTACAAAAAATAAGGTAAATTTAAGAAACTTTCTTAGAAAGTTACAAATAACTAAGCTTTAATATTAACAATTTTATACCAAACAAATAGATGAAAGAGGAATGTAATCTTTTCATTTTTTAAGGAATGGGTATTCCTCGATTCTTTGCTAATGTAAAATGGAAATTAGACATTAAGACTTACCATTCCTATCTTCATATGGAAGTCTCTCCAATTTAGCTTGTTTTTATAGTTTGATCAAGGAATAACCATTAATGCCAACCAAACAAACCCTAAATGTATTACTTATCTAGAGGGAGAGAGTACTAACGTTGAGTACACAATAACTCCGCCAGGGCGAACTAACTGAACAGCCTGGTCAAACATTCTCCTCTGGTAATTCCCATGGTTTCTCAATGATTCTATTGTTTCCTTATACAAAACAAAAAGCAATAAGATCATAGAACTCACGTACAATTATTGAACTTAAAATGATATGAGATTAAGAGAAAGTAGCAACCTAGTAGTTCAACAGCAACACCTGACATTTTTAAACAATTGCAGGGATACTAAAAAGATATACATCCCACTAACATGGGTACCCTAAACTAAAACTTGGCAAAAAATTATGACAGTTCAAGAATCTGCTGAAATATTAAATGGGAAAAAGCAAGTAGATCATAAAGAAAGAGGATATGTACAAGAAACCATTTTGATAATGTTCATTGAACCATATTCATAAAGAATGTCTTTCTCAAATAAATCCCATTGTCCCAATGGTTATGGCATTTGTAGCTCAGATCTGGGCATGAGGAAGACCCTGTCCCAGTGACAACTCTCCATCAAGACTAAAGCTCCTTAATCTGCACCATGTTTTGTGGTTTAGTAAGGGGAAGAATGAAAAGGGAGAGGAACAGAGAGAAGAGAAAAGTAGACAAAGGAAACTTTCCGTCCAGTGATGGTGGGTGAGCGAGGAATGAGGTGGGTATCTAAATTGTGGATTTGTATTTTCTTCGGTCTTTTTTTTTTTTTTTTTTTCATTTTTATTTTTATTTTTCCAGAATTTTCCAGAATTTTCCTTTTTTTTAGATTTTTTTTCTTGAAAAAACAAAAAAAAACCATGCCAGGACAAGGCGGTGGTAGTGGGTCATTACCCAGCCATCAGCCACTGAGTTTTGTAACATTAATTTTAGATTATTATTATTAGTTTTCCTGGTTTTATTGAGATTTGAGCTGTCATTTTTAGGATTCATATTAGGAGTTTTGAGTGTTTTTATTTTATTATGTGGTAAATCCTAGTCTAGTTAGAATAGGAATTCTTCTTGTCAATTTAGCACCTTAGGATTATAAATATGCTTGTAACTTCTTTCAATATGCAGTCTAGTGAACAATATGAAGAAATTTTTAGCAAGATTTTTTCTTCAGATTCTGATGCAATCTTGGTTGTGTAATGCGACCAACCTTAAACCTAGGTTTGACTCTTAAGGTTCATCTTTCTTTTTCCATCTTTTCCTTCTTTTCACACCTATTTAGAGGATGTTTAGGTGTGAAAACGAAGGAAAAGATGGAGAAAGATAAATGAACCCTAGCAATTACACCTAAAGGGGAATAGAAAACCCATAAGCAACACATCTATAGTTGGTGGCATCACACAACCAAGCAATCATCACACAATCTTAAGAGAAACTCTTGCTAAAAATTTCTTAATATTGATTAGACTACATAATGAAAGAAGTTAAAAGCATATTTATAATCTTAAGATTCCTAAATTGACAAGAAATGGAATTCCTATTCTAATTAGACTACTCTAGACTCCTAATATAACTCCTAAAAAATTTTCCTTGGGGGATGTCCCAGTGATTAAAAGCTTGAATCTCCATGTTAGAGATCTCAAGTTCGCTTGGGGTGGGTGTGGAGGGGTTTAGGAAAGGGAGGACCATCCCCAGTTGTATAGCTCATCATTTGATGTACTAAAAAACAAAATGACTCCTAAAAATAAAATATCTAATCTTAATAAAACAAAGAAAACTAATAATCTGATATCTATAACTATATGACCGAAGAAACTATGTTTTCAAGTATGTATTTAACAGTCTAGAATTGAGTGTAATTATGAAATAGTTAAATATGTTCAATAATTAGAAATTTTACATGCATGATCTATACAAATAGAATATTAGATCAAATAACTGGTCTGTCAAAATACAAACTTTATGAAGAATTATGAACCGGTGTAAGTTGATCCTAACTCATATCTGTATATTGTACTTGTGCTTGTTCTTTCCATGTGGCAAAACAATATGGGTGTTTTAGGCCAAACATTAGATGGGCCATGCTCTAAAAAAGCCAGATCTTATCAAATGCACATTAAACCATAATAAGAAAAACTGATAGATTTTCATCACTTTCAACCAATCTTTATGCACACATACACTAGTGAGAATGCAATGCAGTACCAGGTATCAAGAACAACGTGAAAACAAGTAAATAAGTATTAACCCAAATGTACTACCTCCCTAGCAAACAACCGAGGTCTCAAACCAAGAGCAGAACAAGGAGCATCAAGAAGGATTCTATCAAAGCTGTTGGGAAGAAAACCTTTTGATTTCTCAACCCTGCCTCCCTGGGACTGATTTCTTCCTGGACCATTCCGCATTATTCGCTCATTCTTCCTTATGTCAGCTTTGCCAACATAAGTTCTCTCATTTGCTTTCTCGATGCTAACTAAAATTTAAAGCAACAAAGATGAGTTTGGCACTCTAGACATTTTCTCATACATACAACATAGAAACATGAAATAGGAAACAAATGTAATGGAGAGCACCATTTAGGATACTTGCAGAGTTGCAGAGTTGCAGAGTTAAAACACTTTTTAAAAATCTCAGTTCAGTTTCCTCAACAAGTCAAAATCATTTTATTCTTTTGACACCCTGGAAAAGTCAGCAAGTTTGCTATCATTCATCATGACTTGATTATTTCAACTACCAAAATATATCAAAGGAAATATTAATTAGAATCAGGAGGTTATCTCAAACAAATAATTGAAATAAACAAAAATACAAAGCAGAAAGGAAGAATCTTTAAGGTGAAACACAACTCTTTAATAAATAATGTTGAGACATCAGAGGGGAAAACAAATTGAATACACAAGACTGTCAAATAAGTTATCTAGCTAGTGGCCTAGGGTTGTGATTGTGAAGCATTAATTCTCTTAAAGAACAATGTCTGTATCTGGATTTTAGAGAACAAATACCATCCCTCTCCCTCCCCTCACCCCACCAGGCCCAAGCAAAGAGCAAAGACAGGCAAAAGAAAGGGGGGAAGATACTCATTATACATCATAAATATTTCAGAACAATTACTTACTATTGCCCTTGAAGGTTATATCAGCATTCATTATATGCAAGGACAGAAGATAGTAGTGTCTCCCCCACCCTCCCCAAAAAAAAAAACAAAAAAATCCTTGGTATTCCCCTGGGCTTTTAATTAATTGATCCCAAGAATTTATTTTTTAGGTGCTACACCCTTGAAAAATCCAACCCCTCCCCTACCCTAGTTTCTGTCCCTGATTATACATAAATAATAAATCAGAGCAATTACATACCATTCTCACCAGCAGTTATATTAGCATTCAATTCTTCAGCCATAACAGATGATACTCTATTCTCATGAGATCTTGGCAAGTCGGAATTCTTAAGGGTCATGTCCATATTATTCTTGCTGCAATTGGAAGTTGCCATATCACTCAATCCATCTATTTTACAAACAGCTTTGAGAGCATCCAATTTATATGTGGTTATACAAGTCAAACCCAGCTCAGCAGCCAATTTTTGAATATCCAACACCTATTATGTCAATATTGAAATTGAAAGTCCTCAGAATAGACAGATTAAAAGTACAAAAGAAAAGTCATTAGATGAAAAAAATTCTAGTTTCAAATGTAATCAATTTCTTACATGCAATAGGTCAACAATATAAATCTCACAGCCATTCAACTAATATAGTATACCATGAACTTCTTACGTGAAAGATCCAGAGATGGGATTTACTTTGATTGGCAATTGATATCTGGGATGTATCACTGCCATCTTACTACAGATGTCAAAACTCAGCAGACAAATCATGTGTATCCAGCTAAATGACATGAGGATAATAATGATAAACTGTATTTTGATATAATGAGGATCCTAGATATAAGCATTTGGAAGTAGAACTAAAATGGAAGTTTAACAGCCCAAGTCATAGATCTAAGTCTAAGATAAGCATAATTAAGCAGATATAGTCAGGTAAGAATATGAATTTCTTTTCCATACATTACAGGCTTGACTAGTGGTATGTGTTAGACGCCAGCAACCACACACTATTAGCCCCTCAGGTTGTGAATAATAGAAGAAGCATATCTATCCATAGACGAACAGAGCTCAATAATAAATCAACACTTTTAACTAACAAAACAACTCCCTTCTGGTATGGAGGAGACCTCATTCGTTTCCCTACCATATTAACAGACAATTAGTTCATATGCAAATACATGATGAAGTCTTGTGACAATTAAGTGGACAGCACTTTATCATTTCAGTTCTAGCTCAGTTTTTGTACCTTATTATGAGATCTATCCACCGCAACAACCTCTCCTTCATCCTTCATAAGGATAGCAATACCAGTTGTCTTCCCACCTGGAGCAGCACACATGTCCAATATCCGCTCACCTTTTTGAGGATCTAGTTAAAAAATAACAGAACAATTCAAGTGTCATGCAAACTAACTTGTAAGGATTGTCATCACAGAATATGTTTCAGATTAACAAGAAGTAGTCCCAACGCTGCCAAAGGAAATCACCAAGTACTAAAAATGAAATAACTAATACCAATCAATTTCTCAGATATAAATGTTCTTATAAAAGATGTTTGGCAATGACCACACCAAAGCAAATGGTTAAGATGAGCATGAATTAATTTCCAAAATGATGTTTTATCTAAACCCCTAGAAAAGGAATACAATTATCATATGATCATGCATTTGGAAAGCTTCGGTACCACAATATTCTTCATAAAATAATTTCCAAGTCCTAAAATCATTTTGCATGTAATCAATAAATATTCTTTTTAGTGACATTTAATATTTCGCATTCAAGGAATAGAAGTAAAAGAAGGAATAAAATAGAATTTACAGTATGATAATAGATAGATACCAAGAGCGTGTGCTGTGGCAATACTTGGCAGGTTTTGAAGAAATATTTCCCCCTCAAGCACATCTGCAGAAGATAGGAAAAGTATTAAGCAAATCAAACTTCCAGAAAACAGGGTCCAGAATAATAATAGCATAAATAAAAGTAAAAAAGTAAGAAGCAGTAGTGAACTTCGATAGGACATAAAAAAGTTAAAAAAAGAAAGTAATTGAACATTCAAAAAAAGAGGGGGCAAACATAATGTAGATAGCCAGCAGGCAGCAGTATGAAACAGAAAACTCAGAAATAGGGGACAAACAACTTAACATGTCGCATGTTGCGCAATGTAGTTAATAGTATTCAATATTGTATTGAAACAATACATTTCTGTATCGTAAGAATAATGGGTAATATAAGAAATACATGATTTAGTATTACGATAGCTAAAATTTTATAGTTCAAACAATCTTATTATGCATAAATAATTTATTTTATATAATTAATTAGGTTCAAATATAAAAGTTCATTTTGTTCTTACCAAATTGCTACTGAATCATAGAAAAGATATCTGGATTCAAAAAATAATAATATTCACAATAAGTCACCTATATGGACAACGTGATAAAGGAAAAATAGTTGATTACAACTACTGGAATAATGGTAGAGATGGTTTGAGTTTTACTGAGGAGCAGAGAAGAAATTGTGAAATTCGAGGAGTTTTTGCAGTTTTACTGAATAATTCAAATTGTGCAACTTGAGAGAACCTCACTGTTATCTCTTTATTTTTATAGTTATTAGGGGCCTTGATTATTTAAGTATTTTGATTGAATTAAGATCCATGGCCTGGAATTTCAGTTTTAAGGTTTGATTTGAATTGGATTAAGGCCGAGGGGCTAAATTTATTGGAATTTGGGTTTTAAGATTTGATGAGCCAGAAATAGAATAGGAAAGATTGAGCTTAAGGGGCGTTGTAGTTGGGTATTTTTTGGAGATTTAACTTAAGTGGTGTTAATTTTCAAATTATGTAAAGATAAAAGAGATAAGTGAACATAAAGTAATGACTAATGAGTGAGCATATTAACTTTAAAAAAATGCTCACTTACATTTTGCACAAGTGGAATATGAAAAAGACAATTATATTACCAAAATAGAAAGGATAACAAGTGTTAGGAATGGGGTAAAATTCAAATATTTACTTGTGCAGAAAGGTGAGCAGAGAAATTTGAACACATCATCATAACTAGTATTCTAGAATTAAAATTGATTAATGTAATGCAATCCATCATGTTTCTTTTCATCATTATCTATGCACCCCATACAAGGAAAAGAAATTCACTTAAAGCAAGCACATGCAAAACTTTCAGCTCACATAAGAACTATGAAAGAACACAAATGACATTCTTTTCCCATAAATGCTAAAGCAAAATCATTGAAAATGCTAGACCATATGTTTGCTGCAGTAAACAAAAATTTTTTTAAAAAGAATGAATTATACCGTGAAAGGAAGGAAGGCTAAATACTCTATCTGTCATATTAACTGCAATTCCTTTGGAAGCACGGAAGATCCCGGCTCGTGAAAACACCGTTCTTCCTTGGCCAATATACAATCCATTTCGTTCGAAGTGATAAGGATCTACAATTGAACCAAGATGACAAAGGATTTGTGTTTAAGTCCAAAAGAATAAAATGAGCAATGATAAAACTACTTGCCTCTCTGCAGCCCCTGCAGAATGGTCCCACGGGTTATTCCAATACCCCATCCACTATCAGGAAGAGGTTGCTCAATGGCAACTGAAACAGCTACTGTATCCCCTTCCTCCACATGGGCACTACAGGCCATTACACCAGGAACATATACCTGCATAGATAATCCAACCCAAGAAAACAGAGTCCAGTCAATACTTAGCTCTAACAAGGAACCTTTTTAAGCAGAAGAAGAGGCTCTAGCAAAGTTAACATAAGCCAAGCAGAAGCTGCCAGCAGCATAACGAAATCTCCATAGGCTATAGCAAATTCAACATAAACCAAGTAAATGTGCATCACTATAAAGAAAAGGAAACAAATTGAAAGACAAAAACAAAAAAAAAAAAAAAA